AAGCCAGTGGAAGACTTCAAGTTCGCCTCGCCCCAAGAAAGCTCATCAGGTGAAATCAAACATGAAAACAATGCTGATTTGTTTTTTTGATGTGAGAGAAGTCGTCCATTCAGAGTTTGTTCCTCAGGGTCAGACAGTTAACCAGGCTTTCTACTTGGAAGTTTTGAAAAGATTGCGCAACAATTTGCGGCGGAAGCAGCCAGATTTATGGCAGTCGGGTGACTGGTTTTTCCATCATGACAATGCCCTTGCACACACAGCCCTGTCTGTACGACAGTTCTTGACCAAAAATGGTATGACCCCTGTTCCTCACCCTCCATACTCACCCGACCTTGCCCCGTGTGACTTTTTTTTGTTTCCTCGAATGAAAAGAGACATGAAAGGAAAGCGTTTTGCTGATGTTGCTGAGGTGAAGGAAAAAACGACGGAGGCACTGTCAAGCATCTCAAAAGATGAATTTAGACAATGTTTTGAAAAATGGAATAAAAGACTAGACAAGTGTATTAGTGTAAGTGGAGAGTACTTTGAAGGGGATTGAAGGTTTATGCTTAAAATTTGAGTAAATAAGTTTAAAAAAAAAATAAGTTCGGTTTCTTTTTGGTACCACCTCGTATATATGTTTGAATATGAGCCAGCTTACTGCATACTGGTCAAGAATTTCATCATCTAAAGACTGGAGCATTTGAATACAGCCTGTCTACTGGAAAATACTCTGAAATGCCTTCTTAGGCACAGTGCTGTGATTTTCACTGGAATCCATAGGAGACACTCTTGATCTGATATCTGTAGCAGAATGATGATTTTGCAACTACAGTTCCCCATACTTGTCAGTGATGAACTGCATGCTGCATGCCTTGCCCCATCTCATCCTTGGCTTGATGCTTCTATTAGGTGAAGAGTACAAGTTATGAATCCCCTCATAGCAGGAGATATAAATCCAGATGCCAAAGGTTAAATGTAGGAACAAACATGAATGTATATAAAAGTGGTTATCACATTGTTACCAGGCATATGGTGCAGATAAGGACCGAGAACTGGGTCTGAAGGGTGAGCAGCTTGGTAACGTGGTCTCAGCCCGCAGGTTCGTGGGATGGTACAACGGTCTGCCTTGTGATACAGACTTTCCTGTTAACTTGGACGTGGAGGAAGCAGCAGTACTGGGACATGGAAATGTTGCTCTGGATGTTGCCCGCCTTCTGCTTACACCCATCGACAAACTCAAGGTCAGTTTTATTCATACTTGAGGAAGTATTTTTGCACTTTTGACACATTAACCCCTCAAGAAAGGATTTAAATTGCTACTAGTTGTATGCTGTTGCAGTATTTAGATGACCGTGCACCAGACATTTCTTACAGCATTCTTTCACTATTATACATTGCAGAAAAGACTAAAGTGAATTTTGTAAAATTTTCAGGAGACATTATGAATAGTATAAGCTTTCATGCAGCCATTTCAAAGCTATACAGTGCACTAGGCAGCACCATGTTGAAGCCACTAGCCCTGGCTTGAAGCTCACAGAACATTTCTTATGCTCACATGAAATCATTCAGTCTGAAAGAAATTTGCTATGGTGAATACTATAATCTTTGGAGTGTGGAAACTGCCCACATTCAAGCAAACATTACAGTGACAACTCAAGTATCATCGCTTAGCAATTACTGTTTACTCGCCATTGCTAAGCAATGAATAGTTCCTAGCTTGTGATTGGCTAGCACTTGATCCATTATGGGTGGTTCCCACAGTCACATATTGTTGTAGACTGTTTACTCGCTGTTGCTAAGCAATGATACTTGAGTTATCACTGTAACATCACCCTCCCCACCCATGTGGGTTCCATTTCTTGTGTAATTTGTCCAAGTCCTGAAAGTCCAGCTTCACTTGAGTGGGTATATGAGCCAATTTGCAGTTCTCTACTATGATGCTGAAGTAATGAGATAGATCCTCATTGCTTTCCTCAAGGTGTTGTGCAGTGGTTTTAAGAAGGGAGTACAAACATTTCATGGATAAGTCATTACAATCCTTTAATAGCTTCCGAATATATATGCGAATTTTTTTCTGTATAATGCTTCAGTTAGTTTCTTTGCTAAGTCATGGCAGAGTAATGACGATTTTTCTAGGAGCTTGTAGGCAGTAAGGATGTCCTGAGGCTGCCGCCTCTAGTGTGTCTCACAGGCTCATGAGTATGTACTCGGAATACTGGCTTGTGAGGGATGAACTGAATGGTAGCAAGCATTCCTTGAATTTAGGATGAAACAAATGTTTGAGAACATGGCTTCAGTAATAGCAGGACTCCCAAACCTTTGAAGTACACTTTGTGGCCTGGAATAGTGAACCTCTGACATTAAATATGATTTTTGCAGAGTACTGATATCACAGAGCATGCTCTGGAGGCGCTGTCACGTAGCAGAGTTCGTCACGTAAAAGTGATTGGCCGACGAGGTCCGTTGCAGGTTGCATTCACCATCAAAGAATTACGTGAGATGCTGAATCTTCCAGACTGTATCACAGTGTGTAACCCATTCGACTTCGAAACAGTCCGTTCTGCTGTACCAAGTGAGTGTCAGATAATGTGACACATCATCCATAAGACATATTTGTGTAGATTTTCATGAAAAGTGTGATAACCAGTTTGAACAAAAGTTCACATCAGTTGAAAAAATTCTGCTGGAAAACATTCCCAAAATAATAGGCATTCTGATATGCTTGTAAAAGAAGCCCAGAAAGAAGTCATGTCAGTGGTTCATCATATTCCTTTTAGAAGGAAGAGAAGAGGTGGGAGGTGACAGTGGACCGGGTTGCCCAGTAACCATGCAAATTGATGAGAACATGAAAGAACTGAGAACCTTATGCTAAGTGATTGCCATCTGAGTATCAGCTTCCATAGGGAGATGCATGTCTCTGGCTTGTGACCCACCTTGTTTGTTTGGTTTATGCAATCCTGCTCCTCAATCTGCTCGTCCCAAGTAGCCCTTGTGGGATGACACTGAATTCTGTACGCTACATTGGCAATTGAGGTGACCGCCTTGTAAGGTCATTCCCAGGATAGCTGCAGCTTCAGTAGCCTGCTTGTCCTGGTGGGGTAATATAACCAGACCTGATCTTGCTGGAGTCCAGCACAGTTGGTTAGGCAGTTGTAGTGGACCCTCATCTTATCATTGGCCTCGGTGTTCCTGCTGAGTAGTACCCTACTCTTATCCTCATTCATGAGGTCCTGGGTCAAGGTTTGGGGACCTTGGTGTACGGCACAGGTGTCACGCTGTTGATACCACCTCTCAGTGTTGCCCCTCACATGTAGCCAGTAGTACCACCATCTGACCATTGCAGATTTTTCTGATGCCAAGATTCCCCAGTTATCTGCTATGGTGTTCTCCAAGTACTTCCTTCACTTTGGTCCAGGATAGAACTATTTCAGCTGTCTTGGTCCTTCAATCGGCTGACTCCCACGGGCATTCCAGCACGTCTGTCAGTGTCAGGTAGTTTGACTGAGCTCTTGTAGGCGGAACCATAGTCAGTGGTGTCTTTCCACATGATATCCAAACCTCACTTCCCAAAGGACCAGCCCCATGTTGTCATGCAGGTGCTCTTCACGGTATCATGGTCCCAGCCATCAGTAGTGGCAGCAACAAGCACTCGACCTTCTGGCAGCCAGAGTAGGCCTCACAGTAGGGTCTTCTGGAAAGTGCATCTCCATTTGTGTACTCTTGCCCATGGCAATGTTCAGTGCTCTTGGTAGGTCTTGGCAAGTGTATCTTATCAGTGTTGACCCAGTGTCATAGCCTTGTTCACTCCTTGGTGGGTAGCCTTTGAACTCGGTCCCACTAGGCTGTTCCCACCTCCAGATGGCACTCCAACCAAACTCTTCCACACTGAACCAGTATTACATACTTGTGGTCATCATATGGAGAAATAATCATAGTCATGTCTCAGAATGTGATAATGACACTGCGTCTTTGCCCAGTTTTAGCACACAGTGCTTCAAATCCACTACCATGTTACAGGTTTGCTGTCACCAACAAACATCCAGATGCACTGCATGCAGCAAATCTTCATTAACCACAGATGGTTGGCCACTCTGCGGATCATCATGCACATTTTCGCGTCTTTCATTAAAGCGTCTCACCAATCTCTGTACCATTGAATCACTCATGGCGTGTTCTCCATACACCTCACAAAGTTGACGATGAATGTCAGCTGGTTTCATGTTTCTTGCATTCAAGAAACAGATTACAAACCACATTTCATATGTGGCGGGCTTCTCAATTTTCTTAAACATTTTAAACACACAGGATGATGCGTAAATGTGGTTCGATTGTCTGCAAATGGTATCCATGCCTTCCCAAAGGACCAACAAACTCTGCGCACAGCACACCATCGTGACCACAGTGCTGCAGCGGCAGTTTTTGCAAACAGAACTTATTTTATGGATATGCCTTGCACTTTGCTTTATAATTCTGTTTAGCCTGCTGCCAGTTGGTCTCTCCTGGCAGTCAGGTCTGTTTTCTATTTCTTTTAGTTGCTCCAAAATCACTTGTTGAGCTAGCTTCGTCTTTGATCCAGCTTCTGACACCATATATAATGTAAATCTTGTTTTGGAGCAATTATTTTCCATAATTTCTTATGAACTTGTCATCAGTTTGCTTTAGTTCATTACTCCTGCACTGTCTTCTGGTGCTCATCTTGTTACTGCCTGCACAGGCCTTACTACTTGCTTTTCACTGCATTGTATCACCACACACATATGCTGAATGCTTCTTCTGTCACACACTGACTTAAGTTGTTAATTCTGAACACTTTTATTCCAGAGTAGTCATTCTAGAATATTGTGGCTAGCAGTGTGAGCTACACACCCGAGAACAGTCTAGAAGCTGAAGGGGATGGGGTGCGTGGTCAAGAAGCTTTGAGAGGGAGGTGGGTGCCCCCTCCTCCCAATAAACTTTGTCTGTGCGATCATATGTAGAAAGATTTTGTGTATGTTTGAAGGTGGGTGCCCCCTCCTCCCAATAAACTTTGTGCGATCATATGTAGAAAGATTTTGTGTACGTTTGACTGTGGAGATGTTTGCCCTAGTAGATGAAACTGTAGATTTGGACAGCAATGAATGGCACAACAAGAAATGACAGTATGGGAGGCTTACATGAGCTTGTGAGATTCTAAAACTATGAAATAAAAGGCTGTCTTAGGAGAATGAAATATTATCAGTTGAATGGACTTGGTTGTCTCTATGTCATTAATGAGTACCCCAACTATGGACAATATGCAGACATCTCCTAGGATTGTATGTCTCACAGCAGTGCTTATGCAGAGTTCTATCTTCAGGGATATAATTCTGTGTAGTCTGGTGAAAGTTAACTGATGTTTCAGGGGAACATGTCACCTCCATCATCTACATTGAAGAGTAGGCTAAGCAAGACACCGGCGTGAAGCAGGCAGAAACTCTGAAGATGGAATTGATATGTTGCTCTGAAATGACAGTTGATTTTCACCAGACTCTATGATGTTATATCCCAGAAGACAGAACTCATGATCTCTGATGTTTTGCAATGTTCCTTGGAGAAGGTAGGTTTGGCAGTTTTTGTCATAACTTGGCATTTCCCTAGGATATATAAAATGGTAGTGAACTTTGCACCCAGCCAGTATATTTATAGGTGCCAGCTCACCTTGCAAGAAATGTCTGTAATGGTAGCCAGTCTGAAGGCATGTTCTTTGTCACTTACATGGTGAACATCAAGGAAGATGTATTAGGCAAACCCCTTTGTCTGCCTGTCATGTACTTTGTTAACGAATACAATATCGTTGGACATAAGTATAGGTCATTTATTTTTGTGTGTATTTGTAGAAAACAGACCAAATGACAACACGACTACACAGGCAGGGTGAAGAACTTACAGTCAAAGGGGCATTCATAAAGAAAACGATAACACTACACCAACATCCTTAAGAACTACACGGTAACACGCATAACACCTTTGCCATAGGAAGTGCTGCACAAATTAATCCAAAACAGGAGGACTCAAACAGATATCTCTTGGCCAAATGGACGACAACGACAAGAATAACATTGGGATATTAATTAATTTTAATTAATGTATATTTTAAGTAATATCATGATCACATGTGATATGAAATTTTGACATACCATACAGTGCACCGATTTTGGTGAAATAGAAGACATTTGATGATGGCCCTATACAGCCGAAACATGTGAGGAAGAAGGGTGACTAATAATAAGTTGCATTCAAGACAGAAATATATTATGTGAAATAAATGATGTATTAATGCAACAGGATGATTTAATACAATATTAGTATAGATGTTTTATGTGGCCTCGACATGGTATCTTCTGTCTGCATCTGGTGTGGACAGAATGTCATGCAAACCTCTCAGTAGGACACATTTAAGTTACCTACCAAACAGCATGGTTAATCCAGAAGACCACAGAATGAATCTTCACTACTATTAAAGGCTGAAGTCTTATTTTTGTTTTTGAATTGTTGTTTGATGTGTTCCGAGACATAAAACAAACAGTAAAGTCAAGTTAATTGTGAACAGTAGTAACAGGCATGTTTGTTAGTGGTTTGTTTAACATTCTGTTAGTTGGTAACTCAGACTGTCTTAACTTCTAATAATTGAATAACAGTGAATAATAAATTGGAAAGGGTGCCTAATCTGAGGTAGTATCCTGACATTTCCCTTGAGAGACAGGAAACCTCGGTCAGGATAGTGAACCAAGATGTCAGAAACTTCACTGTTCCAGCCAACTTATGCAATAACAATCATGCAACATGTGTCTGTTCCCATGGAACATGCCCAAACCTTTATTTGACAGCATTGCAGTCATAACAGATTTATTTCATAATGAAAACTCTAGGGTCTTTGTGTGTTTTGTACAGATCTAGAGCGACCGAGGCGCCGCCTCACAGAACTGCTGTGTAAAGCTGCAGATTTGTCTCCTTCAGGAAATGTGGATTCAAACTCAAGACAATTTCATCTGGTATTTTTTCGTTCACCTCTCAGCTTCCAACCTTCACCAGGTAACGTATGCATACATTCACGTGTCTGTTTTCTGGTGGTGCATCAATGGGTTGTGTAATGCTGCAAGTTGGATATATGGAAACCTCATTACTTTGGTTTACTAACCTTCTTTCACTCCTAATGATTGTAGGAAGTGTTTTGTTGGCAAATTCTGAATGCTTGAGTGATCTCAAAAGGTTATTTACCTTTATCAGTTTCTTTAGAGTCTTTATCTTAGGTTCAGCTATTTTTGCGTTTTTGCACTTCATCCACATATTTTATGTGCATAATTGTATTTTAATTACATGTTTTTCTGTATGGAAGGGATTTGGGATTCCTGCTGCGTGGAGGGATTTTTCTTTTGACCACTGCATTGAGACTGGTGTGGGGTCCATCTAGCCTCCTGTATTAAATATATCTGGGGCTGTTTTCCCTGATGTGAAGTGGCCAGAGCATAAAGCTGACCTATTGTCTCCCCCTAGTGCCACTGTCATGAATGAGCGGAGCTGTACCTCTAATGCCACCAGACTAAGAACAGGAACACATTTACCTTTTACCTTTATTTATTTACTTGCCTTCATATATGTATTTACAGGGTAATTAGAAAAATCTTAAATAAATATAGAGTGGAATCCCGATTTAATATTCCTTCTTTTAAGGCTTTCCATCATTTAACATTCAGTTAAGGGATCTGAAGTCAGTAATCTTAGTGTTACTTGACCTTCATTTAAGACTTTCCTCAGTTTAGTGTCCAGATCCACAGGTACCAGAAGAAACCTCATATAGGGATTTCACTCTGTATTTATTTAAAATTTTTCCCATATTGTTATATATTTTGATTTGGCATCATGTTTTGCATATGGTGTATTTCCTAAAACAGTTATCCTTCCACTGTTTATTTACAACCATGTATATTGTATTGTTAATTTTAATTTTTGTCCGAGTATGTGATATTGTGTAAAGGGAATATTGCAATATAATGAATGAAGAAGACAGACATTGCTTGGCAACAGCTCAGTAAACACGTGTCCACGACACCAGATACACACGCAACAATAGAACTGTTGGAAGTGATGTTTTCTATACAGCCCATGTTGAGGCTATATAACGAGGAAACCAGCCAGTTAGTAGTTTTTTTTTTATTGCTAGTGGGGTGGGCCTAAGTTCCTTGTACTGTGGCCACTTCTGATCTATTGTACCAGTGCCAGATGATAGGTGAGGGTGATTGTGCAGCAATTGGTGGAATGAAGATTGGTAGGGGAAACTGAAGTATTCGGAGAAAATGTGCCCCAGCGCCACTTTGTCCACCACAAATCCCACTTGACCAGACCTGGGATCGAACCCGAGCTGCCGTGGTGGAAAGCCAGCGACTAACCGCTTAACCTATGGTGTGGCCTCCAGTTAGTAGTTAGTTGAGAGTTAGCTATGAGATGACAGCCATGCAGCAACAATGTCAGCATGGGAGCAGAAGAATCTCTCATTGTTTAGAAGCTGGTACCAGGCTATGACTGGCTAGGACAAAGCAGACGTATGAGAGTTAGCATGCCCTGTAGTGAGGCATAGAACGTGTGAATTAGTGAGAGTGTTATAATTACGTGTAGTTACAAGCCGTAGGTGTTCAGTGGATAGGGTGGGTGTTCTGGCACAGTTATTTGTTTACTAGCTAAAAACTCCCTCACAGACTGCTCTAATTCAAGCTCCAATATTCTCGTGATGGCATACCAAGAGACACTCAGACAATAAGAGATGCCACTCAGAAAGAGACTGTCATAGATCAATGACAACACAGCTCTGAAATGCTGATATGCTAATGTCATCAAACCCTTACTGAGGTTTCTGTTCACTGCTGGCATGGCAAACGCACAGTGGCGAGTTTGCAAACTTTATTGTCAGAACTCATATCCATGTCCTACCAGTGCAGGTAGATACTGTAGTGTGGACTTTACAAATAAAAGTACTGTTATTGCTTTATCCATAAAGTCTGTCTCTGTGGAACTGTATGTGCAGATGTGCCTGACACAGTGGGTAGCATGCAGCTGGAAGTCAACCAGTTGGATGAGCAGCAGCATGCTGTACCAACAGGGAGCACTGAGACAGTGCAGTGTGGATTGGTGTTACGCAGTATTGGGTATCGCAGTACACAGGCTGACCCAGATGTGCCATTTGACATAGACAGAGGACACATTCCAAACATTTCTGGGGTTGTCCAGCCTGGTGAGTGGGTGTCTTACAAATTGCACCAGTCCCTGGTGTACCTAAGAAGCATAACATGATATCTGTAGCAGCTTGTAAGTAATGAACCAAATGGGAGCCCATTACTTTGATAAGACATTATGCTTGTTATGCTGAAATTTAGCTTTATGTATATTGATCTTCTTAACTACTTCCCAAACATCCATCCTAATATCATAAACTCCGTGGCCTGTAGTCCACAGACAGACTATACCGACTGAGTGACTGTCTCTTGTCGGCAAAGTTAGTGCCAACTTTTGTGGATAGAGGATGTCGTGTGGTCAGCGCAATGGATCCCCATGGCCGTTAATCTCGGTTTTCTAGACCAGATCTTAATATCAAATTTCCTTACATTTCTTGATCTTCAAAGTAACCCTTTTCTAAGAGATTTCTCCCATAAAATTCAGTCATTCTTTATGTTCCCTAGCCTAGCTGCATTATAGCTGTTCTTCTCAAACAGTGTAACATAATAATAGTTGAAAAATGTGTCACTGTGTAGATCTAGTGCAAACTGACATTTCAGAGGAATGTATCGCCTCCCTCTTCAGGGCACACAAGATCTACATGGCACCACATCCCAGAAGACGACATTCTTCATAGTCACTGCCATAAAAACCTAAAATCTTATATAATAATAGTTGTTGCTGAGTGCCTTAAATGATAGTATTTGGTGATGTTAACTTATTTTGAGAATATGACATGCCAGGTTCTAAATCAGTTGCAAATTTTTAAGTGCCTTCCTCTATTTGGTCCTTGGTAGAGGTGAAATTCTGTGACAGGTTCATAATGAGCAGGACTTTGGTACTGCAGGAGGTGAAGGGCAGTTGTGTTAACAGTCAAAGAATGTTAAGCCGAGGTGAATCAGATGTTCATTCCAGGATGTAGAACCACATCATACACAGTACTCTTCACAGTTATAAACTGCTCAAACGGTTGAACGAACTGTGCCATAAGGCATAGTGTTACTTTAATTTGCCAGAGATTATTTCAGTTAATTATGTAAGTACTTCAGTTAATAATATGTTATGGTAAAACCAAATAATTGGGAATTATGGGTAATAACACATAATTATATTGAATTAGCAAAAACAATGGTTAATATGATAAATCTTATGACTTTTACCAGTAATTATGAATAATTAACAGTTAGTATTCATAATTATGAACATTCATTAGTAAATACTGATATAATAAACAGCATTTAATGATGTGTTTTTTAAACATTTCATGTTAGTTGTCATTTTTACTGCCTACTTTGCATATTTTAATAACCAGTGATAAATCTTAACCCGTTATACCGTCATACAAAGGGTGTCAGGATAGCGATGGGATGACAAAGGGGTTGGAGTTCGAGTTCCAGTAGGGTCAAAAATTTTCTCTTCTTCACATTGTCCAGACCAGTTCTGGAGTCGATCCATCCACTTTTCCAATGGGTATCAGGGGTTCTTTTCCCAGGGGGTAATGCAGTTGCAGTAATGTAATGCTTGGCCAGCTGAATCAAATACATGTGCCGTTACTTAATTACTTACTAATGGAGCTGAGCCCTTCTTGAGGAGCCGCCAATTCTGCAGCTACTCAAGAATTTCACAGCATTTTATGGAACCCAAAGGTTCATTTCTGTGTTCACAAAGAGTCCTCCACTTGTCCCTATCCTTAGCCAGACCAATCCCATCCTCTCTCTCTATGATCCATTTTAATATTGTCCACCCACCTACACCTTGGTCTTCCCAGTGGTCTCCTTCCTTCTGGCTTTCCCACCAATATCCTATGTGCCATTACAGTAACATAATACAATACATCCAGTAAAGTTGCTTTGTGAATTACAGGACTGACAGAAATGTAGGTTCAGCATTTTGAAAGTTGTCTTAGAAAATAATCAAGCACTAGAGAACTAGAGGACTGATACTCTTTGTACAGGTCTGTATGTCGCAGGGTGGCTTGCTACGGGCCCTATTGGTGTAATCTTGTCCACTATGACCCAAGCATTTGGTGTAGGGCGAGCTGTTGAAGCAGATGTGAGCTCTGGGCGTGTTGATGTGTCACAGGCCAGACCAGGACACACAGCTATAGGGAAACTGCTGAATGACAGAGGTGTGTAAGTGTACTGTCAGCATCAGTTTGTAAAGATTAAGTCTGGTGTAGCAGTGCACATTCATGGGAGAAATTGTTCATGTAGACTTACACTAACTGGAGAATCAATACCAGATGGAGAGATAATATTATCTTGTCTCACACTGTTGTACAATAGAGAGACACAGTGTACCGGATTGTTAAACAGTCTAAAGAAATAGGAATGGTGGTGATGGTGATGGTCTCGGCAATAACAGGAAGTACAGAGAAAAGTATGTGATGCTTAACACAATAGATCGGAATCTCAACCAGCACTGCATAAAAAATCTGTTGTGCTTACTTATCATTGTTTCCATACAGAATTCAGCTCAGGTAGCCATTATTGGAAGTTGGAATAGCCAGGCATTTTGCTTTTGCAAGAGATTATGGAGTGCTACTGGAGGATAGTCTGGGTGTCTGGATTGTGACATCATTGTCTGATGAAGCACACTTCCACTTCAGTGGTTACATTAACAAGCACAATGCCTAATGTTGGGCATCAGAGAATCCAGTGCTTATCATTGCCAACCCACTGCATCCAGAGAGAGTTCTAGTGTGATGTGAATTATTTAAGACTGGAATATTTGACCCCATTTTCATCAGTGGTATAGTCACTTCTGATGTTTACCTCAGTCCGCTGAATGACAAGTTTGTCCCTTTCCTGATGGAAAATGGCATTCCAATTTGTATAGTCTGGTTCCAGCACTTCCTGCTTCTTCAGACTTTTTGGCAGTTCAGTAGTTAATGTCTCTTGATGGTGCATCATGAACAGAAAACTGTTAACAATATTGTATCTCCACAGCAACACAAATACCACCAGAAGATAAAAGGTTTTGATAACAGACACTTTCTGATTTGTTGTATATGACACCAGCTCAGTGTTACCAATGGCAACAAACAAATTTCCCAAGTGTGTAGCTTGATCTGTGGAAGTGTCATATATTTTCATTTATTAACAAAGGAGTTAAACAAATTTTAAAGTGGTAGATGATAAAAAAGACCATAAATAAATGACAGTGCTTGCAGATACAGTAATTTTAAAAATAAAGTGTCCTGACATTTTGATATGCCCCTTTTAACCTCTCCAACAGAGTGTAATACCTTATATTCTGAGCTGCAGTTGAGGTGGGTAGTGCAGGGTGGTGCTTCGTTGAGCATTAGGGGCTGCTCTGGCATGTAGAGACTGATTTCAAACACAGAACAGTTAAAACAACTAAATAAGACCTTTGTTGTTTTATTTCAAAAGGATCAGTTCGCTGTTAAACAGAATGTTATCTTCCCAGAAATACTTGAAAGGAGAATTTTAAAATTGTTTTTATTAAGAATTTTATATACACTGAAAATATAACAACCTACTAACTTGGGTGATTGTTGACATCTCAGATTGAGGCAGAAACATCGGCCTCTTTTAAGTGTACAGTTTCTGTGAGCATTTAGTTCAGCATGTGAAGTACAAGGATATCATTATGTAAATATTGTTATGAGTCATACCCATTTTTTTCCACCTTGGAATTGCATACCATATTGCCCCAGCACCTTATTTTTTGGATTACATCTCTGCTCATGTTACTGTTTTCCTTGGTCTACTCTATGTGCGTTATGTTTCAAGGAGTGACAACTGTCAGCTGGAAAGACTGGGAGCGCATTGATGCTGTAGAACAGAGCCGAGGTAAGAACGTTGGTAAGCCTCGTGAAAAGATCGTGGACATCAATGAGATGTTGGCAGTATCAGTCGGGACTGGTGGAACATGACCCCTACAATATACATTTTTATATAAGGTTAGTAGAGGCCCATGCGTCAGAGATCATTGTGGTGTCTGAAGTGTATTGCTCGCACACACTGATGTCAGTGGAGAGTATTGTCTTCTGAGATGTTAAGAGTCAAGTAGTTTGGTGGGAATTTACTAATAATTGAGAGGAATGTCCTGCCTCCATCTTCAGACTAGAAGATTAAGCCAAGTATGGGAACTGTAGATATGAGATACAGGTAGAGGGATGGCTGCCGTAGGATCTCTGAGATAACCAATAAGTGTAAGAAGGACAGTGATAGAATGTGAGGCCCTTCTAATGACCATAAGTTACTAACAAGGGGTCTGAATGCAGAGTAGAGGGAGGAAAAGCAATAGAAGAGGAATCAGCCCCTGTTAGTAACTATGTGTTCCCCATAGATGTTGCATAAATCAGTATCCAGTTTTCTATGAGATATGAAAATTGAATTGGGGAAGGGGGGGGTTGTGTGCACATGCCAAGTCAGTCCATAGTGTTATAGATATTTATTCCAATAAAATGTTTTGCTTGTTTGTTGTTGTACCTTGTAGATTAGTTCACACCAGATTTCATGGCCTTGGTAAATGAAGGGTAAAAACTAATACAATGAAGAAATTGTGCATGCACGCCTGGACAGACTGCCAGAGGGTTGGACGTGGGCCTTGCTGGTGCTAAAAAAATCTGTTTCATGTTCAGTATTTAAGAGTTAATGAATCAAAGTTCAGTGCTTGGTGAATCTGAACATTCCAGCTCGAAAAGTGAGGCCCTTCATATGGTCACGAAAATATAAATTGACAATTTTCTTCAAAGTAGCTCTTATGATTTTGATTACATTTCAGACATTTATGGAGACTATCCGAATTTGAAACTGAACAGATGGGTATCTGCAAGAAAATAAAAATACTTGCACTAGGGACCCAGACACAAAATGTCAGTGTCTTTGAATCCGACTTTACTGGTTGGACAGACTAATTGTAATTCAGTATTCAGTAACAGTCAATTTCAATTTCATTTCTATGGTAGCATAGTTATGGTGAATTGTAAATGAGATAGTATGAGCAATGCATTTGCATTGATTTTTATATTTACTTTAACTACTCTTGTCTTCAGTGCTACACAGTCATCTGCCATTGTTGCCTGTTACAGATCATGTAATAATGTTAAAGTGAGAATTAAAGTAGGTTGAATTAAGAAGTGCTATATATATTCTTCATCATGTAAATCAAGAAATGACTTTACAACTTAATGTTCATAATTGATGCATTATAAAGTTCTCCAATCAAGATTTTGTTAAGACTCTGTGAATGGAATTTCCATTTAATGTTCCTCATTTGAAGGTCATTTAACATCCAATGTTACCATCTCAGGTCAATAAAATTTCCTCCTTTTAACATTTACCTCAATTTTGTGTCCAGATCCATTGCAACATTATATGGGGAGTTCTCTTGAGTATCAGTTGTAAAAGGTAAAAGCATTCCATGAAGACATATGAGAATGAAGGCGTAGCTCCACTCATTCTTAACCTCATCACTAGAAGGAGGTAAGTGGTTCTTGCCATGCCCCAGCTGCTTTATGCCAGAAAAGAAACCCCAGTACCAATTAAACAGGAGGGTGTCAGAGCCAGGCTGAGTAATATAAAAAATAGTTGCCCTTTTCTTAGAACCGAATCCCAGTTCCTTGGTTGTTCAGCTTATAGCCCATCACTGTACCACCTGAGCTGTCTTGGCTGCGTTAGTATGTATTATGTGTATTGTATTACATTACAGTCATCCCATACTAGCTGACGATTCAAAATATTGACCCTCTCACAGCATGTCAGGCTACCCAAGTGATCATTCCCCAGTCAGCCAATGATCACTGATGCATTGGTGATGTGTACAAGTGCTGTCACATCAGCCAGCAATTCTGGTAGCATGGTAATGCAATCTTATGTGAATTCACTGTTTTTAGTCATTTTGCAATTAGTGAAATTATGGACCTTACAATGAAGGAGATTTTAAAATTATATTCATTTACCAATGAATTGCTAACTGACAGTGTTTCATGGCACCAGTTAATGTCGATTAATTGTGGATGACTGTGTATTGTTTTCTCAATTCTCCTGTTAATCAATACCTCTTAATTCCAAATATTCCTATGTGCTGACATACCTACAGTTGTTTCATGATATGTTACAAGAATATATTTTGATGTGAATCAGATTATTATTTTTTTTTTGTGTACATTGCCATAGTACTAGATAATTTCTTCTTTTCAGTATATTTTGATGGACTTCATTAATATTCTTGATTTCTCTGGAGGCGTACTTTGGAGTCTGGGTATGTGTTTGCTCACACTTCCTTTCAATTCTGCTGCAAATTGTGATGCAGTTTTGTTAAGGGCTTGAACATCAGAATTTAGTAATTTATGTTTGATTAACAGTACACACGCACAAATTAATGAGCCTACGGCTGCCTGCGGAAGGATGGTTCAGCTGTCTACTTCACCAGTACATAATCCTATTTACAGCATGCTGCGCCATCAGTTATCATACTCTACCATCAACGTACATGCAAGCCATCTACGGTCATGTGAACTCTCTTCAGACAGGCACAAAGTGGACATTACATCACATTTTATGTATATAGATAGAGATAATAACCTTGAAAAGCCAAAATTCTATTCCTTGCTATAGGCAGATTCAAATTACAGTGAGGTTGAGTGCTGACTGCCATAGCTTAGGATCATTTCACAACTGTGATACTACATGTTATAAGTCAAGAGCTGCTTTGTGTGCATGAACGTGCTGACATCCAGCCAGAATGAATGGGCAATGTTTGTTTGGTATGTGGCATCATAGTCATTTTCCTTTTTGGCTGAACCAATATTACCTGACCTGTTCTTTTGAGGTTGAAATTGCTACTGCAAAGTTTAAAAGGTATAAATCATCAGGTGTAGATCAAAATGCAGCACATCTGGTTCAAACAGGAGGTGAATCATTATGGTCTGAGATTTGTAAACTCATTGATTCTATTTGGAATAAGGAACAATTGCCTGAACAGTGGAAATAGTCTGTTAATGCACCAGCTGACAAGAAGTGTGATAAAACTGACAATATCTTACCCAACATCCTTTTCTCGAGGTTAAGTCCATATGTGGATAAAATTATATAGAATTTGAAAATTTGACTTACCTTTGTACTCGTATTGATCCAACTCACAATTTTCCAGCCTGTGCATTCTATGCACGTGTTCCCCTTACCCCTACTATCCCCACTGCCATCATCTTTTCATGAGGTAGTATTCTTGAAATTCAAGACACTGGCTGGCGAGGCTTGACACAAGGAAATTGGCACCAAGTGTTCATCTGGCTGACAGTTTTCTAAGATGTTTTGGTCTGCTATCTGCCTCTGGGACCACTAGCTGGTCCACACACCACCTGAGGAAATGAGGTGTTTTTGGTTCCCAGAGTTTAGGATTCATCTTGGGATTCATGCAACATCTAAGCCATTTTGTGTTGTTAATACTTTTTGTATTGTTTAATTTTATCATTTGTGTTGCTGGTTCATTTCATGATTAATTTATTGGTAATATTTTCACTCACCTCCTACATGGGTAATATTTGTGCATTTTTATTGGTTAAATATACAGTATGTCCCACAACAGAATAAGCTTATTACATGTTCTTGGGATCATTTTGTGTGAAAAAGTTCTAATGAACATGGGTCCAATCTGCAACGGTTTGTGAAGAAAATGAGAATGAGCATTCAACGGCATTTGTAACTTTTACATTATTTCCATTTGCATTTATGTTACAGTATTATTATTTTCCATGTTAATGTGGGTTCCTGGTCACCATGGCATGGCATGCCCTCAGGTTGCGGATGAAGAAGATGACCTGTGAATATATTGAATAAGTGGTTGCGAACCATCAACAAGTGGTGGTCCTCCAGCTTGGAGGGTTGGGCTTGGGGCCACAACTCCTCACCATAAAAAAAAATTCTTATGAAATATCACAAAGGATCTTATATATGGATGGATTTTTTTTGATAAATGACCTAAGCTAAGGAAAATGGATATGGAATTTAGTACATGGAATATAAGAAGTCTGTGTAGGGCAGGTCCTCTCATGACAGTTGCAAAAGAAATATCAGGGTATAAGTTACATATAGTAGGAGTACAGGTCAGATGGGACAGGGATGGCGCTGAATCAGCAGGCAGATATACATTTTCTGTAGAAAGTGAAATGAAAATCATGAATTAGGTACAGGTTTTTTTTCTACATCTGAGAAACATATCATAGTTAAGAGGGTAGAGTTTGTTAGTGATATAGTGTCATACATAATACTAAGGGGTCGCTGGTATGATATCGTTGTTTTTAATGTTCATGTCAGAACAGAGGATAAAATAGATGATACAAAGGACAGCATCTGTGAGGGACTAGAATGTGTATTTGATAAATTTCCTAAATACCATTTGAAAATTTTATTAGGAGATTTCAGTGCCAAATTAGATAAGGAAGACATTGTCAAACCAACTATAGTGAATGAGCGTTTACACAAAATTATTAATGATAATGGATTTAATCTGATGGAAATGCGATCAAATTGACGATATTTTGATAGACAGGAGATGACATTCAAGCATACTTGATTTCCAATCATTCAGGGGAGCAGGCTGTGATACTGACCACTCTCTGGTGGTGGCAAAAGTTAGGGAGAGACTGCCAATGAGTAAACAGACAATGCATAGATTTTGTGTGGAGAGGTTCAGTTTCAAGAAACTGAATGAGGTAGAGGGTAAATAGCAGTATCATGTTGAAATCTTAAATAAGTTTGCAACTTTGCCCACACACACAGCATTGTCAGTTTGTGAATTTATGATGAAAAGTGCATTCCCATGCTTCTATAGGCTCCTTATTTTCCGAAATTTTCACCTTGTGATTTTTACTTGCCCCCAAATTAAAATTGAGAGCCAAGGGCTGTTATTTTCAAACATTTGACAGAATTCAGAAAGCTGTAACTGACGCCATCAAGACCCTAACAGAAGCTGACTTCCAGCCCTTCCCCGAGGTATGGCAAATTCACTGGGCCAAGTATGTTGCATCAGAGGAATGTTATTTTGAAGGGAACAGTGTTGATTTAGACGAGTAGTTGAATAAATTATTTTATACAAAACTAATCTTATTACTTCCTTAACACATGTCATATGTTGCTGTCTTGTCACCAGACTGCAAGGTAAAATAATAACATAAAGATAGCTAACAGATCCTTTGAAAATGTGGCTCAGTTCGAAAACTCGGGAACGACAGTAGAAAATGAAAATTTGATTCAGGAAGAAATTAAGAGGAGATCGAATTCAGTATACTTGCTACCATTCAGTCCAGAGACTTTTGGCTTTGTCTAAAAACAAAAATTGTAATACAAAACTGTAATTTTGCCTGTGTTTCTGTATGGGTGAAAAGCATGGTCTCTGAAACTAAGGGAAGAACATAGACTTACAGATTTTGAGAAGAGGGTGCTCAGGAGAATATTTGGGTTGAGGAAGGATGAAGTGGCAGGAGGTTGGAGGAAACTACATAATGATGGGTTTTAATACTATTGCTCTTTGCCCAGTATAATTAGAATGATCAAGTCAAGGAGGATGGTATGGCTGATTTTAGCGTTTCAGATGCCCAGAAAATGGATGAACCTTACAATTGAAGTCTAGATGTAATACAATGGATGGGGATAAGTTAGGTGGAAGTAGAGTCACATTCAAATAAGCGTTGTGTATCCTGTGTGCGTAGTTAGGACAGTTTTGCAAAATAAATTAATGAAGAAGATTATTAAATTAACTGTACTATTGATATACGTCGTTTCCTTATCTATTTAGTATAATAATTCGATAAAATAAGGCACTAAGAATTGGACAACCATGAATCAATTTTAAGTGCAGTATGCCTTTTTATGTTCTGGAACCTTAGCTTTTGGCACTTATTTTTATTCCATAATTTTGTGTCGTACATTGCGCAGTTTTACTCAATTTATGGGTTTTTTACATCAGCGCTAAATTATGCAGAACGTTGCTCAGCTTTTGAACTCTAGTATTTTCTTATTTGGAGTGGTCGCCACTGTCCATTGAGGTCACGTTCACAGAGAAGATAACTCTGGTTCGAAGTTATCACGGATCGGCACAGTGTGGTTGATCCGTGGTTCTTCTGTATTTGCGCGGGAAGAAGCCAATTTTGGCAGCCTTTCTTAAAAGATTGACAGAAATATGTGCAGTGTTTAACTGTTTCTAAAAGATGGAACAGTTTTGGGTTTTTGTTAATTGCTTATTATTTTGAAACCTGTATTTATAACTTGATACGATGGAAAGCCTTGGTATGTTTTAGTATGTACATTCACGTTTAGAAAACTGTAATGGAAAGTTATGCATATGTTTAATAGTAATATGTTTTATATGAACTACATTGTTTGATTGAGGTTAAGAGTTCCATGTAAAATCCTCAAGCAGTTTAATGCAATGAAGACTGCATCGTCATTACGATGGAGTATCTGTTTTTGCGCGTAAATACTGGGCATCGTGGTTTTGCAATTGCAGTAAATAGAATTTTGATGATGTAAACCTGTTATTAGTTTATTTCCCTAGGTGTCAGCATGCTGAAGAATTCGGTCAGTTCGCTCGTAGTTAGCAGTAATGAAGTCATAGAATTCAAACTAGGTAGGTGTACAAACAAATGTAGTTGAAATAAGTTCTGAATTACATTCTCATTTCCTAACCTCTTAATATTGTTTGCAGTACGACAGGTGGCGGACATCGCCAATGACAGGTGCATATTCAGACCTGTAATGTCCCATCAGGTGTTTGGAGACAGGTGGGTAAAAAGTGAATTTATGAAATCCGTTTGTAGCTGTAGATGTAAACCATCAGTATTTATAGAAAGAAGCAACAGTGAGATGACAACTCTGAACTAACTCAGATTTAATTTACCACAGTAACAAATTGGCCAGCATTAACACATTGCATGAATGAAGTAGATCACAAACAGGCAACCAGTCTTCTGTTTTAGTGTATAATGTCTGTTCTGAGTACATGCTAGCCATTTGTAATTTGATTTTATCATCCTAATAAAAAATATTCCACAGCCAATAGTCTGCAAGCAAACTATACTGACCGAGTGACCGCCGCTTGTCGGTGAAGTTAAATAGCGTTTGGTAAAAAGTGAAAATTGTAATGTTATCAGTGTACATTTGTCCCCAGTCTTTTACCTGACTGATACCAACCAGCAACATAAGATATGTAGTACCAGAAACCTGTGCAGTAGGGAAGAAGGGTTTATGAGATCTACTTCAACTCCTTCTTTTGTAAATCCAAAGGCTTTTTGGGTGGTAAATGTTATTTTGGTTTGACAAATGTGACACTGCTCAAGTTTTTGAAGTGTTTTGAATGAGGTTGAATGTATTTCAGAACAAAAGAGTTATTGTTTGAGTAAACCCCTTTGATGGGACATTTTGAGTTAGTGACTTAGATCATTACACCCCAGTTACTGGATTATATTATTAACATACAGGGGGAACCAGAACAGCTGTACTTGAGATTTTGTTGAACGTGCATGACTTTCCTGCCACGATTGCATACTCAAGGTTTGACATACACTTACAAATATTTCAGCACAATGATATGAATGCAGGGCTTATTGAAGGGGATTGTGGGAAAGGAGGAGTAAGGGGATGTGGAGCTGAAAAGGGCAGGAAGAAGCTGTATTCATTGTCTACCTTGCAAACTATAATTTTTGCACCAAATGCATGTGCCCATGGTCACTGACTGAAAGTTGGTTAGCTATAAACTATAGCACTTGCAAGCTGAAACATCAAACTCTGCAGCGAATGTACATGCAAGCCATCAAGTGGCACATCCATCAGCATTCTCACAAAGTTGTTGCACCTGGCGCAGAGCTGATGTTAACATCGCTTTTCTGTATTTACCGTATTTACGCATGTATAGGCTGCAGCACAATTTTCAGACAGAAATTATAGAAAAAATAATTTTCTTGGAATATTATTACTATTAGTATACTACTAGTATTACTAATTATGAATATAATTTTTTTTAAATGAAGTGTGATTTCGAATATTTCGAATATAAGCCGCACCCCAGTTTTCCTCTTGAATTTTTGGCAAAAAATGTGCGGCCTATACATGCATAAATACGGTATATACAGGGATAAGTGTCGCAGTGCTAAAGTGATTCACTTGTTGAATAGTTGCTTTCTAGATGTGTGTACCTGAAATGTGCACTGTTATTCTGCCCTAAAAATATATAAAACAAGGAACAGTATATTAATGTTGACAGTTCATGATAAATAGGAACAAATTGTGAAAATGTATACAAATGCTCAGGTGGACAATTATGTCAAAGTGTTGTTTTTCCATTTGCAGTCAGGTTCTGTAAACTATAAATATAATACCTGTTGTCTGTTTCAGGGAGAGTATTTTTGGTTATCATGACCTCAGGATCAAGTTGTACTACACTGCTGCCAGGCTGACCACGTACTTTGGCATCTCTTACTTAGACAGAGTGACTCCAGACAAGTTTGAGGGGGTCCAGGTGAGATTCTGCCTTATATGTTTCACTGTATTGCCAGTTGGCCATCTGTAGAACATAGCATCCTGGGTTCTACCATATGTGCATACATTCAACCTGTCTTAATCTCCATTTTTAAGAAATATCTCTATGAAATGTGTCCTTGACAGGCCACCCCTTGCTGATGAAGATTATTGTCTTCTGGGTTGTGATGCTGCATAGTGTGATAGAACCCCTTTGAAAATTTGGAGGTACATTGGTGAACTTATACTGTGCTACACAGGAAGTAATGCATTTTATCCTCTTTACATTTTTTGACCAAAATTTTGTGCCTGTTTTGCATATACCATTCATGCCATATGTGCTCAAGAGCATTACAACATTGGTGAATGTCCCTTCTCATATTTGCTTGCGTATGTAACTTCCCCCAGCTATAAGACATTTCAAACCTGTGATATGCCTTTTAATTCATATGCTTAAAGATAAAGCATGAAAGGATATGTGAATACAGTGTCTCAGTATTTACTGAAATACAGGTGGCTGTTGTTGTATGCCCTTTGTTGTCATCCATGTTTCCACAGATCCATTATTTTATTACCATGGTAATGTGGAATATCAGTGTCCTATCCACGGCTAGAGTGGAAGCTGCCTTTTGTGCTAAGTGAGTTGTCTGTACAGTTTCTGTAACTTGCTTCACCATTTTGACTCAGTCATGTTATTTCTTATTCTTCCTCAAACATGCTTAGAGCTAATTCATTGTGTTCATCAGTTTACTCTCTTTCGGGATATAGGCAGTGATTTTCAGGAATGCAGTGTCTGTTCAGCATCAAAGAAGTTATAAAATTCCTTCAGTTCCTCCACCTGTGTCATATATATGTGAAAAAACTGGAATATTTTATTCACTATAGCCTCAGCATCAGTTGATGCAATGTCAGCATTTTTCTGAAGTGCGTTATGCAAAGTATGGGTGACACATTCTGCACTTCGAATGTTCATTTTTAAATTGCAGGTGTTTAGCTTGGCAAAAAAAAAAAAACTGTTTGTTCCTCTTCATGCAGCCCCTCCAAAATTTATATTACAGTTGTCTTCACAAAAGTCAATAATTTTGTCTGATAGCTTGTATTTATGCAGTACATTCATTATGGAAGTCGTTAACACATCAGCCATTTCACCTTTTAAGTTGCGAAATTCAGTAATTTTAGTTTGTATCTCATCTCTGGAGTGAAGTATCGAAGTACAAGAGGCATTAGCTCTAGTTTTTTTCTTGATATGTTACTGTATATGACAATGATCTCCATGCTCTGTTGAAAACTGAATTTACAAATGGAGCACAGCACTTTTCCCACTTGGTCACCCTTAAAAACGGGTACTCTTGTTTTAAACTCTCAGTAAAAGCACATCTCGGCATTTCAGTGGTTTTCTGCCCCTAACAGTATTTTTATATTTAAACATTCTTGTTCTCACACCATAACCAAACCACCCAATAGCACATCACATAAAAGTCATCTGTGTGCTTAACTAATTAAGCATTATGCCAAGTTGGTGTATGGGTTAGTGGATGTCATTTGTGTGACATTGACTGATTTCTGAAATGTCATGTTGGCAGGCTGATGAGATCTTTGACAAAATATCTGAAAAGCTACAGCCAGGGTTCCACACAAACTTGGATGATTTCTGCAGTGATCTAGAGAAGGATGTCAACTTTGTGCCATTTGGTGAACTCCAGCATGCATTCACCACCAATGGTATGTGACAGGTGTAGACTCTAACCAAAGGAAATGAATGTATCGTAATATGAATTGAGAGAAATAATGTATAGATGAAATCAGCAAGGACAGTTAACAGTAGCTAGTACACCCTGCAACATTCAAGCTTTAGTAAAAACCATCTTATGTTAATATTATGTAGAACGTTTTCCATTATCTGGGACAGTGTTTCCCCATTTTGTTTGGCCACAGAAACTCTTTTGTACTCAGGAAATTGTTATGAAATCCCTACTAAATCCTAATAACTAACTAACTACATGAAACTGAGTCCATCTTTAGAAGCCAACAGTTGCTCAGCTACTCAAGAACTTCCCAACATTTTGTAGACTGAAGGTTCTTTTCTATGGTCACAGAACCCGTCATTCTGTCTCTGTCCTGAGCCAGATCCATCAAGTCAATACCATTCAGTCCTATTTCTCTAAAATCTCTTAATATCACCTTCCCACCTACATCTAGGTCTTCCTAATGGTCTGTTTCCTTCTGTCTTTCCCACCAAAACCCTGTATGCATTCCTTTTCTCTCCCACCATGTTGCATGCTCTGCCCATTTCATCCTCTGTTACTCAGTAATTCTAAATATATTTGGCAAAAAGTACAAGTTATGAAGCTCATGCAGTATTTTCCAGCCTCCTATTATTTCTTCCCTCTTGCGTCCAAATATTCTTCTCAGCATCTTGTTCTCAAGGTCTGTGTTGTTCCCTTAATGTCAGACCAAGTTTCTCACCCATGCAAAACTACAGGCAAAATTATGGTTTTGTATCATGTTTTTTGGCTGTAGATGAGAAGACGAAAGGTTCTGAACTGAATGGTAGCAAGCATTACTGAAATTGAATCTCATTCTAATTTTATCATTTATTGTTTGTTTATTGTTCGTTCTTAGAAAACCAGCATTGAAAGCAGACTGAGAAGACTTAGTGTGTAGTGATTTGTAGTGTGGAAATCAGCAATAATGGTATAGTTACTTGTAGTTATGACCTGTAAATGGTCAATAAATTCATTCACCAATCCATATGCCATCGATAGTCACACACCCATAAAACATGACAGTATTGTAACGTGTTTTGCTACTGAAGACGCTGTTCGGATTTGTAATTGGTTTATTTAACAACCTACAAATCGTAACTACAATTAATTATAACACAGTTGCTGGTTTACCCAATTTATAAACCCTACACAATAATCTATTCACTCTATCTTCAATAGTCTTCACTTATTCACAGTACAATACGGGAGCTATACCAGTGTCACTGTACTTCACACTCCCAATACCTTCTCACACTCTTGCCTCTAATCACATGTTCCGGTCTTCTTCATGATTCACTCGCTACAACTGCACTCGGTGACTTCACGATCCACACTGTGTCACTCCTGATCACACACTCTGTTCACATACTGCTCAGCCAGCTTTTAATGCCATTCCCTGTTGCCTTGTGTTACCAGCAGTGTCCCCTTGTTATGTCACAGTGGGAAGTGCTGTTACGTCACAGCGGGGGAGGGGGACACAGTGTTGACTGGCCTGTTACCGTAGCAGTGGCAGTTGCTCTGATGCTGTTATGTCACCGCTTGAAGGAGCATGTCCTGCATAGCGCAAATACGTCACACTATATTCATCCTTCATTTGTTTATCCCATTTGTAGCTTTGTATCACCTCCTTTCTCCCATATTCATTTCCCATCATCCTTGTTTGCCAATTCCTTTCCCCCCTCTCCATTTTCACATTTCTTCCTTTTTCTCCCTCCTTCCAGTCTCTTATCCTTTCCCATCCATTTTATTTCTCAAGGCTGCTCTGTGAGTGCAGTATTCTTTGCAACATTTGCCTTGAGACTGGCATCAGACTGGCTTCAAACTGATTTGATGTATAACACAGCTGTTAAAGATGTTATCCATGGATTTAGTTTCAGTGTGCATGTAAGTTGGTAGAGGGGGCACCCTACGAGCCGGAAGGTCGCGGGTTCAAATCCCGATGAGGTCATTGGATTTTTTCAGTTGACCTAATCCTTCCTGCCGCACTAGGCCCTGGGGTTTACTCAGCCTCTAACAGAAATGAGTACCAGGAATTAATTAACTAATATTCCTGGGGAGTAAAGGGCAGCCGGCGCGTAAGGCTGACAACCTTACCGCCATCTTTGAGCCGATTGTCTGGATAATGTGGGACCCTCAATGTCTCACAACCCTATGGGCCTTCATGGCCTGGTACAGGGATAGCTTTACTTTTTTTTTTTCTCTACTTGATGTAAGTTGGTAGATCAGTATGCACGAAATTCTCAAACCATAGCTGAGATGGACTAACATAAGATGAAGACATGATGATAAGTGACATTTGTTTAAGATGGTACCCGCACCTGGGAGATTTATATGTGTGAAGTGACAACACCAGGCTTTCAGAAGTACCATGAGAGATTGCAGACATTTATTCTGTGGTTCATTGATGCAGCCAGCTTCATTGATGCAGATGATGACCACTGGAGGTTTTTTATGATGTAAGTTTCAATCACTTGTGTTGATCATTTGCTGTCTCATGCCCCATGGCATGCCATTACTGAAGAAATGGTTTTTGCGCTTCTTACTCTGTGTGTGTGAAAATAAGATGTAACTTACCAAGAACAACGACAAAGCTGCAAAATTCCACCTTATTGGCACCAATAGAGAGTGAGTATGAAGCAGTGTAACCAGCACCAATGCAATAATTAAACCTTTGTCACTGTGTTTTAACTTGTTGTAACGCCTGCATGACATTTCCTCTAGAAACACTCCCCCCCTGGAGATCCGATTGGGGGAGTAGTTTACCTCCGGATTGTTTTGTCTCCAGACGAAACATCTCGCATACATGGTATCTCTGTTTTTGGAAAGAGACTATCCAGGAAAAGTGATAATGTGGTAGTTTTTCAATTTGCTTTCCACATCGCAGTACAACAGCCATTCAAACCACTCTGGTCACGCCTGTTGCTATACGAACTTGAACCAACTCTAGCATCATTTGCTCTGTGCTTCAAGTTGCTGCTGATGATGCTGCTTCTGGCATCAGTTTTTGGTTTTTGGTGTCTCTCTTCGTCTGATGCCTACCCTTTGAGCTGCTGGCCCTGCAAGTAGCTACGCTACTGCTGGTATAGCTTTCAGAGTCCTTGTCATACTCAAACCCCCTCACCAAGATAAGGTGGAGACACCAGTGAGGGGGATTTTAACTTATATGGGAGATTTAAGATGTAGAGGTTTAAATTCTTTAGTTTTTGTATATGTGTTTTAAAGTTCTCTTTTAATGTGGTACACCACCCTGAAGATGGTCTAGTAAGACTGAAAAATGTTGGGAGTTAGCAGCACCTAGTCAATATAAAGAAATAAACAACATAAACTTAAATGATAACATCTTATTTTCACAATATAAAAGCAACATTCAAATACTACTTTAATTAAGCAATGAACCATCAGTAAGTTTAAATTATCAGTCATTTTCCTGGAAACACATAATTTTGTTTTCCATTATTTTATTTGTTCCCTTCCTGCTTTTGACCTGTTGACACCCCATTACATGGGACCTCAGAAGAGTCATCTCAACTGATCCATTGAGCAAGCCAGCCATAATTAATCAGTCCAGATGAACTGATAACATGCACCAGGATGTAGTGTTGTGAGTTGTTTTGGTCACTGTCAGTATGTAGATTATAGCATCAAATGTGGGATGAATGATGAATTGGAACGTATTTGGAAGGAAGCAGTTGTGGCCTAGTTGAGGTACTGTTCTGATATTTGCTTGGAGGTGCTAAGGTAAAGGTAAAGCTATCCCTGTAACAGGCCATGGAGGCCCATAGAGTCGTGAGATGTCGAGGCTCCCAAATTTCCTCTAGACCAGGGGTCTCCACATTAGGTAATTCAGCACTTTCAACGGGCCGGATAAAATGAGAAATTAATAACTCTAGGTATATGAGTTTTATTGAAAGCACAGAATTTCATAAACTAAATACAAAGTACGTGAGAATAAGTTATCGTATATTAATGACAACAGACAGTAGCAGCAAATGCTCATATTTTCATCACAAATTATAATAAAACAATTAATGTGAATGATGGAACTCTTTTTGCATTCTTAAAATATGATTAAATTGAGGTTCAAATTTTGAAACACTAATCACAAGTAGCGACTTTAAATGTTCATCGGATAAATTTGCCCTGTATTTTGACTTGATGTACTTCAACTGGGAAAAAGTTTGTTCACACAGATATGTCGTCCCAAAAATGGAGATAAATTTACAAGCAAATTTCTTTAAATTTGGAAATTGCTCAGAATTCAGAAATTTATAAAGTTTGATCAAATTTCCTTCCTTGTATTTGTCTTTAATATGATAATTTTCCTGAAGTTCAATAATTTCCATTTGAATTTGACTTGGGACATCTGCAGCATCACAGTCAAACGGATTTTGAAGCAATCTAGTTTCCTGAGCACTGGAATCCAAATCAGCAAATCGCTTCTGAAATTGTTCTTTCAAATCTGAAATGACTAAATTTGCAAACGAGAAGGGAAATTCTGTTTCACCCTTTTTATGCAACTCTGCACAGTATAGCATATGAACAAAGTTACAATTTTTCACTTGGCTTTCCAGAAGTATCAGCTTTGCTCTGGATGCCTTGATAAGTGCAAATAAATCACAGACTAAGTTATTTTCATCCTGCAACTCTAAATTCAAATGGTTCATATGGTTCACCAGATCAGCAAAAAATGCTAATTTCCAAAGCCACACGGTATCTGATAAAAGTGGTTCGTGATTTGTTTTTCTTGGTAAGAAATATATCAGTTTCATTCATGAGCTGAAAGAAATGCGAAAGAATCTTTCCACAGCTAAGCCATCGAACTGCAGTATAATATGTCAGGTCAATAGGCTCGGAATCACATTTACCAGTACCCATTGGAAAATTAGTTGAGTTGGCGCATTTCTGCAAAATTCTTTTGCGGGCCGGATGTGGCCCGCGGGCCATAGATTGGAGACCCTTGCTCTAGACAGTCAGCTCACAGATGGCGGTGAGGTTGTCAGCCTTACGTGCCAGCTGCCCTTTACCTCCCAGTAAAATTCCTGATACTCATTTCTGTTAAAGGCTGAGTCGACCCCAGGGACATAGTGTGGCTGGAAGGATTAGGTCCATTGAAAAAAAAAATCCATTTCATAAGGACTTGAACCCACAAATTTCTGGCTTGTAGCATAGTGCCACAACCAACTATGCTACCATGTGGATGTGCTGAGGAAAACTATGAAAAACCACAGTCAGGATAGCCGGTGTTCCAGCCACTGACATTAGAATCAGTGCTGTGCTAAGATGGTTCAGTTGGAAGCCGTGTGCTGTAACTATTGAGTCTCTGCTGATAACTAAGTCATGGAGACAAGCCCTTCAGAAGCAAACAGTCACAGAGCTACTCAAGAATTTATCACATTGTATGGAACCTGAAAGTTCATTACTATGTACTACTGGTCTCCATCATGAGCCAAATGAATCTGGTGCATACCATCTTATCCTGTTTCTTTAAGATCTGTTTTAGTATTATCATCTCACCTTTGTCTAGGTCTTCCTAGTGGTCTCTTTCCTTCTAGTTTTTCTACAAAAAAAAACTATGCATTTGTGGTCTTTCCCGTGTATGCTCCATGCCTTTCCCAGCTCTTTCTCCTTGACTTGATCATCCTAATTACATATGGGGAGGTCCAAAACTTCTTTGTTTGATGCAAATTGTGTGATTTGTTCACACAGATCTTTGATAAATATCTCTTTCTCTCTGTACAGATATGAGAAATATTCTCAGGATGGGAATACATGCTACGCTGTTGCTGGCTATGCTACAGTATATGAATATTATGCATATCCTGACAACACTCGGCCACGGATCAGTCAGATGCTGGTGCTACCCCCCTTCCAGCGGATTGGTCTAGGCGCTCAGCTGCTGGACAGTATATACAGGCACTATGCTAGTCAGCCTCGTGTTGTGGACATCACAGGTTTGCCTTACATTTCCTTACATGCAGGTCAAATGGTAGGACAGTGGATGAATAATGAATTGGAAATGATTTGGTTGGAAGAAGTTGTGTCCTAGTAAAGGTACTATGATGACGTTTAGCGGCCTCCGTAGTCTAGGGGTAACGTTCCCAGCTCATGACTCAAGTTACGTGGGTTCAAACCCGGTGGAGGTCGTGGAATTTTTAAGGGTGGAAAAATTCAGGGAACAAGTCCTCCGGGAGGGGCTTTAAGCCATGGGTCCCGTGTTGTAGATTTATGGCACGTAAAAGATCCCCATGTCTCTAGGAGACCTCTGAGCAAAATCAGGCAAAAAGTTTTCCGCCCAAGTAGTTTCCAATGCCTCCGGTAGATGGGGAAGTTATCGGGTACCACTGCCAGTAGAGGGCCGACCTCGCTGGCAGAAAGGGTAGATAGCGGGCACCAGTATCGGTAGGGTATGGCGACAGTAGGAATTAAAGAGGTACGTACAATAGACTATTAGTCGCGGTGCATGGGGAAACCCACCCCCTCTATACTGAATAACTGAATGATGACATTTGCTTGGAGGAACAGAGAAACCATGAGAAATGTCTATTCAGGGTAACCAGTATCCTAGCCAAGATATGAACACATCACCTCCGCAATATGAATATAGAGTTTTGAAATCTACTGTTAGTTCCTTGGAACTCATACCATCTCTCATGGAGCTGGGGGAGCAGTCTTATGACCTTACGTCAGCGTGGGTACTACCAGTCCTGGAGTGTGTTCGGTTGTATAGTATGTTGTGTATCTACTCCTGGTCTCCATAGGCAATGTTTTCCGCTCAGGGAATAGCTCTGAACATCACCACAGCAAGCATACTGCTTCACATGCTCTACAACAGTGTTTACCTTTCTGCGCATGAGGCACTAACTATACATCAACCTCACTATCAAACTGTTTGAAAACTGCATTAAAAACTTTGAAAGAATTCTGTCAGTAGATGGTGTGAGGGGTTATATAGTAGGGTTTAAAAGAAAGAACTATCTTTCATGTTATTTATAACAGCAATTGAAGCTAATCTGGGGGATTTTTTTTTTGTTTTTGTGCAACACTATTTCCCTTCAAGCAACCTTAGCATTTCTAGCCAGTAGTTCCGTGGTAGGGTGTGGTAGTCCAAGGGCTAAGAAACATTTCACATGTGTTAATGAGGCCATTATGGGTTGACATATACCACAAATTTGACAGAAAATTGTACCTAACAATTTTGTCTACACATTTAATGGAATCGTTTTTTTTTTCAAAGCTTTTTGCATTGAAAGAGGATTATCTTTTATCTGAAGGGGTTTATTATTATTATTATTATTATTATTATTATTATTATTATTATTTCCTTATTCTATTACATCTATAGTAGGCAAAAGCCTTAGATACAGAATTGTGTCAATTTATGTTGCTAATACTCATAAGCAATTGTCAAGGAGANGCGGGAAAACCACTGTCAAATTCACAACTTGCCATTCCACATACTGGTAGGCCATATCATCCAAATAGTTAGATTAGAAAACATTAGTTGTATAATCATTATCTCTTAAAATATTCATCAAGTGTATAAAAAGAGTTTAAATACAGAAATTCCTTCAAATTGTTTTTAAACTTATTTATATCATTAGAAATTACTTTAATTTTATTAGGTAGTGCATTGTAAATCCTTACGGCCATGTGAATTACCCCATTACCATATTTCGCCAAATTTACCTGGCTCATGTGTATGTCCATATTATGTCTAGTGTTTATATCATAGCAATCCCGATTTGTATCAAATATTTCTTTGTTTTTTACTACAAACATCAGAAGAGAGTATATATACTGTGTTCTTAAAGGGAATATATTCATATTCTTAAACAGTTCTCTGCATGACTCTCTGAAACCACATCCAATTATTATTCTTATAACTCTCTTTTGTATCTTAAAAACTCTTTCAGCTTGTGTTGAGTTACCCATAAACATTATTCCATATGTCATAACAGAATGGAAGTATGAGTAATAAATACTTTTTAATGTTTTTACAGACACCACTGGTTTTACATTTCTTATCATATAACAAGCTGTATTTAGTTTCTTTATTATCTCATCTATATGTTTATCCCAAGTTATATCATTTTGGATAGTCAGGCCAAGAAATTTTATGTTATTTGTGTTTAATAAAACCTTTTCTATGCCCCCCCATTTTTCTAACTACTTTATTTTTTACAGTGAAGTTTATATAATATGTTTTCATTAAATTCAGTGACATTAAATTTTTTTTAAACTAGTCCTCCAGTAACCTGTATACTTCATTTATTGTATTTTTAAGTTTTATTGGATTGTCTTGAGAGATCAAAAAACTGGGATCATCAGCAAATAGAATGGGAATACTCTTAGTTTCTAAAATCTTGGGCAAGTCATTTATGTATATTATAAACAACAGTGGTCCCAGTATCAACCCTTGTGGGACACCATTAGTTACTTTAACCCATTGTGAGTTTACTTTACTACTGTTTGTCCCACTGGAAATAGCAGTTCTCTGTTTTCTATCCAATAGATTTGACTTATAAAGGTCGTATTGTTTGTCTTTTATTCCATAATACCTCAATTTATCCAATAATATATCATGGCTTACACAATCGAAAGCCTTTTCTAAGTCACAGAAAATCCCAGAGACTTGCATTTTTTTATTTAAAGAGTCTAGTATTCCAGAGATAAGTCTATAAATTGCATTTTCAGTCCCTTGATTTTCTCTAAATCCAAATTGGTATTTATTTAATATACTATTATCATTCAAATGTTTTAACAATCTACCATGCATTACCTTTTCAAAAATCTTACTAATAGATGTCAATATGGATATAGGTCTGTAATTTGATTCAGTGTTTTTATCACCTTTTTTGTATATTGGCATAATTGTAGCATATTTTAATCTGTCTGGGAAAATACCCTCATGCAAAGCTCTGTTACATAAGTAACATATCGGTTCGCTAATAAAGATTTTACAGGCTTTGAGTATATTATTTGAAATTTCATCATATCCATGGGTTTGAGTAGATTTTAGGGACCATATAATTCTTTCTATTTCCCTAATCATAGTTTTTATAGTTTTTATGCTAGGTAGTGGACTCTCAAATGCATCAGCCAAATATGTCATATAATTAGTAGTTTTAGATTTGGTATTTTTACCATTTCCTTTTATATATTTATGTATATTATCCGCTGTACCACTAAAATACCTATTAAATGTTTCAACAATATCATTCAAGTTGGTATTCTTTTTACCTTCAATGTCCAAGGTTTGAATAATGTCTCTATTTCCTTTCTTTAACACTTCACTATTTATTATTCTCCAAGTGGTTCTAGCTTTATTTTTTGAATATTTAATAGGATTATCATATGTCATCTTCTTAGATAGATTTATCACTCTGTTTAATACTTTACAATAGTTCTTATAATAGGTGGCTATTATAGGGTTATTACTTTTTTTTGCTTCAAGATATATTGTTCTTTTGTTTCTACAAGAAATTCTTATACCAGTTGTAATCCATGGTTTCTGTTTGTATTTTTGTCTACTTGTTATTTGGAACAACTCAAAAAATGTCTCAACAAAATATTTAGAAAATGATTAAAGCTAGTATTAATGTCATTATTGTTATAAACTAGTTCCTATTTTTCATAACTTAGCTTCTTGTATAATAATCACAATGTATAAATTGACCTTCCAGTAAATTTATAATTGTTGTTATTATTTTTAAATTGACAGTTGAGGATCCTTCAGATGAATTCCAACGCCTGCGGGACTTTTTGGATGCCCGGAACTGTAGTAGGCTGCCCAGTTTCAAGGCATGCATGCTTCAGGAGGGTTTCCAGGAGAATATGGCAGCTGAGGCGAAGTCAAAGCTCAAGATCAATAAGGTTTTCATTCATGTACTTATTCTAGTGTTAAAATACACTGTCCAATCCACACACACTTGGTAAGTCAGAATTCACTTGTTCAGAAACATAAGAAGTCTCTCTGAGACAGCACTTTCTGAATCCAGATCTGTTTATTGTACCAGACTGCAGCCTGGTGTACTGTACCAGCATGGCAGAAATGAAGCACCTTCAGAAAATTATGCCCACACTTCAACTTGTTCACTACAGATTCAACAGAAAGTCCTGGGATTGAATGTGGGCTTGAGATGTGACAAGCCAATGACTGTTTGCCTGAGTTATCGTGCAGACATGTAGACTTTGAACAGGTCTATCTTCGGGGATATAATGCCATGTAGTCCGTTGAAAGTTAACCAATGGCACTATATCGCAAGTATTGAACTCTTCATGGCTACCTCTATGAGAACCTCAACTTCTGCATGTATGTAGACTTTGCTTTTAAGGGATGTGGTATGAATTGTGAAAGCTGATACTTGCTGTGGCAGTGAGTCTGTCAGTCTCTATGTGGTCTTTGTGTACTGGTTGCATAAAGTGTCATGCTCTAAATTACAAATTTTGATGGACTAAGCAGGTTTTTAATTTGCATTTTACATATAAAGCAGAAAGTCCATAAATATTTACTTTTCTCTTCAGTGTGTTACACATTTATATTGTCTTGCAGAAGCAGGCTCGTCGTGTGTATGAAATACTGAGATTGCGCATGACAGATATCCATAACGGTGAGCAGTACCGACGTTACCGCCTGGATGTTAAGAACCGTCTCAACATACCATACCAAGTAAGAAGATAGACCAAGATTTAAAGCTCGTCAGTCCCAGGTTGAGTCAGAGATTGTCTTCTGGAGTGTAACACATTGTAGTCTGGAGGATACTGACACTTTGGATGAATGTGTAACACAGTTGTGCATAACAAAATATAAATGTTGTTGTCTGTGCAGAAGGAGCAGCAGGAGTTGAAGCGGTACAAGGAGCGGTATAAGGATGGAGATATCCAGGCTGCACTGTCGTTTGCAGACCCCAGTCAGCGCCTAGAGAGTCTGGATCGGCAATACCGAGAAGTGGAGGCACAGTACCTACATGTGTTGCAGCGCCTTGAATCCCTTTAACATGTCATTACAGTATGTGTTCGGTACTGTAAATTGCAAGAGAAGCAGGGTGCTTGTCCTCTATAGAATTTTGTCTTCCGAGGCTGTGGCATTTGTCTTGAGAAATGCAGCAGTGACCTTTTGTTTTGTGCTGTGTGAAAGAATGAAGTATGTCTGTCTACTAAGATTCAGAGTTGGCATTGTAAAAGAGTCATGTAACAAATGTTGTTAGTTTGTCAGTTGGTTAGAACTATCTTGACGAATATACAGTTCAGACCAAATATGGCAGACTTACATATTAGAAAGGAACATTATAATTTTTCATGTTACAAAGTAGATTAGTTGATTTTGATGTCTGTGTCCAACATGTGAAATGTCCATACCCCATGTAATTGGGAATTTGAATGTTGATTTTCTCCATTATAATTCTGCCATGTAGAGAGTACAGGCAGTGTGACAGCTGCACAACTGTCAGCTTCTCTTATGTTAGCATATTATGACATAGCTCAAGATGCTGATTGATATTGCTTATGTGAGCATTTGAATTTGTCTTGAAAATAAAAGTCTCCATTAAATTTGCCTAACATAGTAGTATATGTCAGATTGAACCTTCTTGTCACTTGTGTATATTTCTGCATGGGTTATAGGTGGAAGGTTGTGTATATCTGGTTCTGTCCATGTATACTTAGAATACTCACTGCAGTGCAAGCCAAGTGCGGTACTTCTGAACTCTCCCGACTGTCCGTTCAGTGAAGGACTAAATTTATATTTTATCTTATTGAATAATGAACAAAATTTAAGATCATTTCATGTGAAAGTTGTTGTAGTTCAAAAAATGTGTGTGTTGTATTTTCTGCATTTTGAATTTTATTTAATCATTTTGATAAACTTTATAAAATTGTGTTATGAGGTGGCGACACCTCTCCAGTCCCATGCCTTTCCAACAAGTCATGTTTATTTTTATTACTTCTGTGGTGATTATGTGCACAGATGGATATTATTAAAGTTTCCTTTTGCTAAGCTGCATATTTGCTTTCATTTATTTGGTTCGAAGTCATGATATTCTACTATATTTGGTTACTTGGTGGAACTGTTAGATTGTTCGGATCTATTCGTAAGAGACAGACTCATCCTCTTGTCAGGATGTTACATAACGACTATGATCAAAAAGGTTCAGTTGAGAAAAAAAAATCTGATCATGAGCCTCAAAGAGCTTGGCGCCAAGATGAACCAAGTGGTGGCAAACCTCCAGTTGTAAAGTAACTCTGACTTCAGTCAGTTGAGAGTTGCTGTAACTGAGGCCAGAGACAGTTTGGAACCCAGAAGAAAGGGAACGTCCACCACTGGAAGCCGCTACCAGAAGACTGATGAAAACACAACAGGCTGAGAAGACTTGAGTGTATGCTCTAGTGAATTGTAAAGTGTAGTCACTCACTGTATGAAAGAGTCCAATAAATCCTATTTCCAATCCAAAAGCTGTCTGTAGTCACCCATACACATGTCAGTACCATCATCACAAACTTTCAGAACTCATTTCATGAAATTATGATGGTTGGCAGATACACCTACTGACAGAATTAGTACTGCCTCCAACCTGTGCTTGTGCACACAACATCATTACCATTTTATTTTGTGAAGAGGAAAGCAACGGGTAATTTTGTTGTTTTTTTAAGCCATACAGCACTTGTGAAATATCCAAAGAGAAACAGCCAACATTTTGAATTGGTTACGTGTTCATGTTGTCTTCTTGGTTTTGATGTTGCCTAATATAGTAGGTACGGACATAATGGAGGAACATCTCAGTAGAAAGTTATAGGCAAACCTTCCAGACTGCATGGCCCCATAATCCATATAAAAAAAAAGGTAAAACCATCCCTGTAACGGGCCATGGAGGTCTATAGCGATGTGAGACATTGAGGCTCCCACATTTTCCTAGACAGCTCGCAAATGGTGGTGAGGTTTTCAGCCTTACACACCAGGTGCCCTTTACCCTCCCCCAGGAAGATTCCTGGTGCTTATTTCTGTTAGAGGCTGATTTGGCCCAGGTCCATAGTGTGACTGAAAGGATGAGGTCAATTGAAAAATTGAGTGACCTCATCAAGAAGTGAACCCGTGACCTTCAGGTTTGTAACATAATGCCTCAACCAACTGTGCTACTGTGTGTCCCTTCCCTCTGTAATCCATAACATCACCATATGAATATTTTGAAGATTTTACATCTTTTATGGATATAGTGTATTTAATATATGTCCTGGGATGTGACACTGTGTTTTGTGCTAGAAGTGTATGTACATTTAAGTGAGACATAGGCATTGAAGTTCAGAATCGAAAAGCAAACCGTCAAATGATGGGATTGGTTACTGATATATGTACGCAAACAGTCTTCAGTGCAGCTCTCCATGTGGTTCCTGGTTCAACCACTTCTATTACATGATGTATTTTGGCCTTACAAGGACCATCATCAGTTGTGTACATTACATGTAAACTGTTTCACTTTTGGAGCACTGACCATGCGCTGTCCACAAAACTAATTATTTTTATTCTGCTCAAAATTTAAACATTTTAAAAAGGATTATTTTTTAACTGTTTAACTTAAAATATTTTTGTTTACTTTATTTAAATTTTGATCACAAAATAGTTTTGTGTATGCAGAACACGGTCAGTGTGCCAACAGTGAAACAGTTTACATGTAACGTATACAACTGATGATGGTCCTTGTAAGGCTGAAACATGTCAGGTAATAGACGCACGTGAAATACGAAGGAGTGGTTGAACCAGGAGCCGCATGGAGAGCTGCACTGAAGAGTGTGTTTCTGTACATATATCAAGCGATCCAATAGTGTAGCAGGATGCAGAACTACAGCATTGCTTCTTGGTGGTTTCATACTTGGCTTACCCTTTCACCCAGAAGAGAGTACATGATCACTGCTGCGGGAATCTCAGATCCAGCATATTTATTCTACTTATATGTAAAATGATATTTCTGGTATCATTGTGTAGGGGCCTTCTCCTCATAAGGAATACTGAATCACTTGAAAGGATGTTGGTTAATTTTGTATGTACGTCAGGGGCCTTTCAGTTCCAATATGGTTCAAATTGAGAATTGGGAGCATAGTAGCACTCTTTAGTTACAGTTCTGGAACTTTGATGCCGATATATCATTTAAAAATATGGATCTTTTGTTGCTTTTCTTATATTTCCTAAAATATAAGGTATTGAAAAGTCAGCTAGTTGTAATTTATATTGAGTCCTCTGTTTTCCATCACTATGTGTGTAAGGGGTGGGCCATAAAATCCGGCCCTCGCACTGCGACTTTTGATGATCTATTGTGCTTCCCCTTTGGATTAACCCTTTATTAATCCTACACTTTGAATGAAATGGGGACGTCATAAACGTCATTTGGTTCCATGAAGAACTGACCCTTTCCTTTACTAACGGTACCCATTACAGCTGGGCATGTGGACTGTGGCACTATGACATAAATATGTCTACCAGAGGTTTAAAAGTGTAAATTAATCAGAAGTTAGAAAACATAGTTGGTCTTAAGGGCGGGTGCACACCAAGGAAACTGGCAACTGCAACGCAACCGCAGTTTCTGAGAACTTATCAGCCTGAGTTGAACACATGTTACTGAATGGAGCAGCGCAGAGAGGAAACGGCAATGCAGTCGTACTGATTGTTGTAAAGTGCTCCTTGTTCTGTTGTAACTAAAGAGGAATGTGTCGGCAGGTTTTAGTACAACTACCCGCATCAAATACGTGAAAATCCATTCAAGTGTTTTCGGTTTATTACAACTAGACAGTTCAACAAGTAACAAAACTACCAAGCAAGTTTAGGCCACGCCATAGCTCAAGAGGTTAGGCGCTGGCTTCCCACAGCGGCGGCCCGGGTTCGATCCCGGGTCTGGTCAAGTGGGATTTGTGGTGGACAAAGTGGCGCTGGGGCGGGTTTTCTCCGAGTACTTCGGTTTCCCCTGCCAATCTTCAATCCACCAAATTCTCCATCCTAATCACCCGGGGCAGGTACAATAGGCCGATCAGTGGCCGCCGTGCCGAGTGGACACAGTTGGACTCCACCCCCCACTAAGCGAATTAAAAAGAAAGCAAGTTTTCTCTGCGAACGTGCCGATGCTAGAATAACTACGTATTCGTAACGAGTTGAATATAACCTGTAACTTCCGTAGGTTTATCCATTTAGATTATAGAATTTAAAGAAAAGTGCGACATGATTCTTTTTAATCTCGATTCGACAGTCGATGATCAAAGATGGTCCGTGCGCCAGGAGTTAGAACCAGTATAGCGAGCGGCGCGCGCGCTCATACAGCGTCGCGACGTCTTTCGTGCCGGACGTGCGTAAGTACATTTATTGGTTTTGTATAGTTCCTGCTCACTCAAAATGTAACTGACCACTTCGCTCTTTGGGATAATTAACTCCTGTTAATTGGAATTCTCTTCATAACTGACAGTTTGTAAGCCTGGAAATGCTTAGCGATGAGCATCATTTCCGGAATTGTTACGAATGGCTTCAGAAATCACAGATTTTCTTACAGTATGTCATATGTGTGACGAAAAGTATCTGATTCCAGAGAAGTCATGTGGCATAATGACAACCTATATTGTACATATCATCATGTTTATATTTAGTAGCTTGCAAAGTCGGAAAAAGAATTGTTCGTCGACCAATCCTTCAAAATTGGGAGTTTTTTCCACCCAGGAATAATTGCAAGTGGCCGAAATACCCATTTTATTAATTCCCCGTTCAACCTTGGCAGAAACAACAGAATTAGCTCAGCATCCAATCCATCCTAACCTCTGATCATAGATTACGATTTGTCTCACCTACACATACGTAAGGCACGGTTATAGTCTTCTGTCTGGAATGAAACAACGAAAGAATTTTTCAGCGAATTAATGTTATTATTGTTTGGTCGAAAATATTATTCAAACGAGTTTTATAATAGTCTGAGGTGCTCAGTTGTCTTGTTTTACAATTTCTGATACCACTTTAGTCGGTTCTTCAAGATATTAGTTTATGTTATCGAAAACGATAAAATGTATTTCGTTATGCACATTAGTACCAAGATTTAAATTTAAATTTTATTTAAGCCACTTTCTCCTCAGCTATGAGCATACTCATGCTGCGTCATTGCATTGACCGGGTGAACTCGTTTAACTCACTGAAAATATCGGCGAGGTACGACAGCTGCTGTAAGCAAGAAATATAAGAGAAATGTTGGCTAACGATTTTTATTTTTTTGAACAAAAAATGCATTTTCTTTATTCAGATGAAATACCAGTACTATTCATCTCTCTATGGCTCTACAGCGCTTTGTTGGACCTTGGACATCTTTCCCAGTTTCTTAATCCTATACACAGTTGGCAGGACTCCTTGGACGGAAGATGAGCCCGTCCAAGGCAGATACCTACACGCAGAACGACACAAACAGAATAATTCCACACAGACATCCATATCTTGAGTGAGATTCGAACCCACGATCCCAGTGTGCGTACGGGCGAAGACGTTTCATGACTCAGACCGCGCGACCACTGGGATCGGCACGGGAGAATATACGTATACTAGGCATAAAATGGTTGCTCCATTTCTGTCTACAAATTTTGTTGATAAAGTTTCTCCTTTCGGTAAACATTCAGAGAGTTATATTCGAGATGTGCAAAGAAAGGTACATGTCTTCTTATGGACTGTCAGATATGGTTGATCGGTAAAGCCAAATTGCTCCTATGCTTAATTAAATACAGCACTATGAAGAAGTAAGGAGCAATGGAAGTTTAAATCCGCATATCCTTAAACTCGGTAATAAATAGAAGTTAGTGGTCAGTTTCACACACCGTCTCTTTAATATTGTTCACAAAATTAAGGACAAATTAAGGTAAAATGCTCATATGGTTAATTGTGCTCTATTCCATGAAGATCTAAGGGATGAGCTGTCTTTGCTCGCTCGGAAGCCGGGATCGTGGGTTCAAATCCAACGCAAGGCATGGATGTTTGGTGTGTGTATGCGTTTATTC